TTTTTTTTAAATTTTCAATCCTTAGCTATAAAAACTGAACATTTTATAATTTATTAATTACGATGATTGATAATTTTCGAGATTTTGATAAATTTTGTCAAAATGCGATCTTTAAATGCTTATAAAAAAAATTGTGCCTATGTATTTTTAATATTTTTCAATTAATATTGTAACAATATATCAGGAACCTTGTATTAATTTTTTACACTTTTTGGCCCAACAGATAAAACTTTATTAATATTTAAAGAAAAAAAAACTAAAAAAATTGAAAACTGAAAATGTCCGTAAACGGCTCAAAAAGAGTCAAAATATTTTCAAAATTGTATGGTGTATAGGAAATGCTAATATAAACATTCAGTGAAATTTTCATGTATCTACAGTGATTCGTTTTTGAATTACAACAAAATAAGGAAATCGCCACATGAGAAATCAAGTGAATATCCAATGTTGTAAAAATTTGAATTTCAAACGCTCATAAAAATTTAATTTGACTTTCTTATAGATTTTTTTTTTCGATAAATGTAGGAAATCTCATAAGGAATCTTGTATTACATTTTCATATCTTAGATTTAAAAAGAAAAATTTTTATGAATTTCTAACAAATAATTTGCAAATTTTCGTGATTTTTCCATATTTTGTCATTTTTTGAACTTTAAATGCTTAAAAAAAAAACTGTAACTAACGATTTTTAATATTTTTCATCCGTCTTTGAAACAATATAGTAGGAGCCTTGTATTAAATTTTCAAGTATTTTTACTCAACAAATAAATTTTTATTGATATTCATAAAAAAAAAAACTAATAAAATTGGAAACTGAAAATGTCCCTAAACAGTTCAATATAAATCAAAATATTTTGAAAATGTTATCGTGTATAGTAAATGCAAATATAAACAACCACTGAAAATTTCATGTATCTACGGTCATTTGTTTTGATGTTACATCAAAAACCAAAATCGATTTTTTGGAAAACCGATTTTGCGTAAAAATTCCCGTTTTTCCTTAATTTTTATTTAGTTTTTCCCGGCGCTTTTGAAAACTACTGGGAAATTTAAATTTTGACCTCCCCAATGCACCAACGATATTCACTTTCCAATCGAACAAGATACTGAAGCTGAAAATCGAAGCATTATTTCGACTACTTATCGTGTACACAGACACAAAAAAAAAAAAAAAAAATAAAAAAAAAAACACACATCATTGTAAAATCAATACATTCATCGTTTCACTCAGAATCTATAACTAATAAAATGGGAAACTGAAAATGTCCCTAAACAGTTTAAAACATATCAAAATATTTTGAAAATTTTATCATGTATAGAAAATTAAAATATAAACAATTAGTAACACAAGGAAAATTTTCCCCTCTCAACTTCCAGTACCTACCCCCTCAAGGCTCAGAAACCCCAGCCGGCACATGGCTTATTAGTGACTTAGAAAAAGCTAATGCTTTTCGTCATCACTTACACTCAACGTTCCAGCCACATATTGACATCATACCCCGCAACAAAATAGTTGAAATCGACCACTTCCTATCCAGTCCACTACCTCTGACCCTTCCACCAAAACACATCAGACCCAAATACCCAATGAAGTCGAGTTTATAATCAATAAATCTGCGCGTCATATCCAAACCCACCTCGACATCCTCTCGACAATATGGTACAAATAATGGGGGTTCAAACTCAATGAATCCAAATCCATCCACTGCACATTCACTTTCAGACCAATAAGTTGTCCTGTGATAGAGATCACACTTAACAACCAACCTTTCCCGAAGTCCCAACTGCTTAAAATGTCCGTTACCTAGGTGGCTAGGTTTATAGGTACCTAGATCGCCGACTCACGTGGGCTACCCACATACGTAACAAACGACTTGTACTAAATAATCATCAAAGACAACTTCGCCTCCTCCTGTTATCCAAACATCTCTCACTACACAATAAAATCCTTATGTATAAAGTACTCCTCAAACCTATCTGGTCCTATGGAATTCAACTCTGGGGATCAGCCAGACTCCAATATAAACCGAATCCAAAAATTTCAATCTAAATGCCTCAGGCACGTATAACTAAAGCTTCTTTTTATGTTTCAAATGATATACCCTCCACAAGGACCTCCTCATTCTGACAGTAAAAAACATCGCCAAAACCCTATATAAACGGTTCCACCTTAAACTCTCAAATCACCGAAACCCTCTCATCCAAAACCTCTCTTCTCGAACAATCCCGGGTGTCCCTGGCCGACGTTTAAAGCGTAGCTGGTGCCGTGGCCTACTAGACGACTATTCCACCATCCCCGCCATGAAGTGCTATTAATGAATAGTCTTTTCAACAAGTCAACCATGTCCAATTTCCAATATTATCCCTCCATTGTACTTATTGTAAATATTTTTTTATACAGATTGTACAAATAAAAAAAAAAAAACTGTGACTAAGGATTTTTAATATTTTTCATCTGCCTTTGAAACAATATACTAGGAGCCCTCTATTAATTTTTCAAGCTTTTTTAAATAACAAATAACATTGTATTGATATTTATAGAATAAAAAACTAAAAAATTGGAAACTGAAAATGTCCCTAAACAGCTCAAAATATTTTAAAAAAGGCATGATGTATAGAAAAAGGTCTGTAAAAACAGTCAGTAAAACAGTCAGTAAAAATGTCATGTATCTACGGTCATTTGTTTTAGAGTTACACAAAAAACCAAAATCGATTTTCTCGAAAACAGATTTTGTGTAGAAATTCCCGTTTTTCCTTAATTTTTCTTTTGTTTTTCACTACTGGGAAATTTTACTTTTGACCCCCTAAAGTACCAACTAGATTCACTTTCCTATCAGAAAAGATACTGTTGAAAAAAATCCAAGCACTTTTACTGTCCTAAATGGTGATGACAGACACAAAACTAAAAAAAAAAAAACCACACATCATTGTAATCGTTCCACTCAGAATTTAAAATTAGTCAAAAAAGTAATAATTTATTATATTTATATCTAGGTTACCACAATGTTTTAAAAATCAATTGTTTTCCGGTTTTTTTGATATAACTTCCGTAATAAAAAAGAGCGATAATTTTTTCAAATATATTCAAATTTAGCGCCTTAAAACACACATTTTTAAAAAAAAAATTAAAAAACGAGCTTGGGCTGTAAACTAGATTTATACCAAAAAAATGTATCCTTGTATAGGGTGTACATAATCTGCGTACCTACAAATTTTCGAATTGGTCATTACTGATGGTGGAAAATTATTTTACTCAAACAATATTTTCCTTAACCTTATAAGGGTTAGGAACTTCTGTCTCATCATATTCTGATGTTACTTATATTATGTTATTTTGAGTTAATTTATTTTTAAATCAGTATTGACAAGAATTTCCATTAGTATTTGAATAAGTTGGTGAATGTGAGGGTGGGAGGTATCACATTTACTATTGAAGTGCATGTGAAAGTTTTCAGCTCTATTCGTTGTTCTTGGGCATTGTCTGGTTCACATAAGAGTAGTTATAAAGTAACTAAAATGTTTTGTATTGTAATTAATTAAAATATGAATATCTTTCTTATTTTGCATTAGAGAAAATGTGTTCCCTATAAATTTTAATAAATGTTTTCCTCTAAAACTACTCAGTAAGCTGTATTCTTGGAACGTGTAAAAAAGTTTTTATGCTGTGTTTTTAACTGGTGTGGCGTCCTGTGGCTCATATTTAAAAATTAAAATAATATAATGGAAGTTTTTTTTGATATTATAATTTTGATTCAAATTCTGAGCATTTTAAAATTGTAAATCCACTGATACATATTATTGATCTAAAATAAGTTAAATTATTTATAACTAAAATAAATTGTTTAGTTACAAAATAAATGTGATAACAAATTTTTTTTGTTCATTTTTAACTCTATTGTATTTATAATATAACGATTTATTTATTTTTTTTTGATTTTTTAGTTAGAAACATTTCTTAATCATTATTTTTAGCATTGTTTTACAAATGTCTAGCACCTACTTTATCATGTGAAAAGAAAGTTCTTTTTTTATTATTTTTGCTTAACCCGTCGTTGGTATCGCTATGCAAAGTCCCGCCATTGGTATTGAGTGAGAGCTGTGCTATTATTTTGTCATTATTTATTATATAATGAACATAAAATATTGAAACCAACAACGAATTATTTATAGTTTAATATTTTACAAAAAATGTTCTTACAATTTTTCTTGATTATAAATTGTTAACCACTAAAAATTAATTTATAATTTTTTATACATAATTATATAATAATATAATCATTATCATTCATCTTCGCCCTAGTGGTCTGGAATATTTTGCTGATTATTATACACTACTCATATGAATGTTTACGAAAAAGTATTTGGTTGACCTAATGAGTGAGCTCAACGCTCAATTTATGGATATTAACAACATTGCATGTCGATATCTAATCAAGAATTATTTATAAAATTTTTATATTGCAAAAGTATATTTAAACATGTGTCGATTGAAGGTATAAATAGTATCAGATGAATCAAGTAATAAATAAATAAGTGGCTCTCAAAATACTAACGAGGTGAGCAGCTCACATCGCAACCAGGTTAAATTTAAGTTTTTTAAATGCTTATTTTAATGATATTGAGCACTATAAGTCCCGAGCCCTGCATATTAGTTTCACTAATACCCCAAAACATAATAATATAATATAATATATCTATAACTTATACAAAAATGGTTAAGTACTCTTCTGATTTCTCCAATTGTTTTAAAGGTTTCAATAGCAATGATGTTCACTTGCTTAAAATCATTGATTTGTTATAATATTATTTTTATACGGATGATAAATCGAGTCTTAACTCTCAAGATAAGATTTTAAGGAAACTGTAAAAAAAATAAAAATAATTAGAGAAATAATCATGTTATTTTAATTTACACATTATTTAAAATAGGCCATTACCAAAATATTCTTTCTCATTAATTTCATTACATATACTTAATTGTTAACATTTTTTTTTTAGTTTTAAGATGATGACTGATCTTTTTCTTTTGCATCTTTTTCCTTCTTCTCTTTAGCTTTGGCTTCTGCTTTTGCTGCAGCAATTTCAGCTTCCATTTTCTCATATTCAGTAATAAGTTTCTCAACTTCATGTTTTTCAAGAATGTTTGTGACAGTCTGATCACTTTCTCGTTTAAGTGTAGCCATTTCCACTAAAAAAATGTATATCAATTATTTGAACTAATATTTATTTGTGGCATTAGTAACGTCTTACTAAATTGAAGGTACTTTAAAGTTTGTTCAAAGACTAAAAAATGTATGAATGTTATTTAAATTATCATTGTATATTAAAAAAAAGCATTAAATAAGTATTGAGAAAATCGAAAAAATGACGTCTCTAAAGCACTATCTTGATCCCATTTGCTAAAAGATAAGATATATTATGTTGAAATCAAAGTACTCCTCCAGTTAGAAATGTTGTATACAGGATAAAAAAAAATGAACACCATAATCCTCGCTCCGCTCAGAATCTAAAACTCATTACTAGGGTTATGATGTTTATGACCCATTAAAAGCTATAAATAAACATATGCCCAAAAAATGTAAAAAATATGCAACTTAAACAAAATACGACATTATAAAATGCCCTAAAAATTTTTATTATTCATTTGAAATATAATATAAATTTATAATAATAAGTTATTAATAACTAATAGTAGTAATTTGATAATTCAAAATTCAGGGGATCGAGTTAAAATTTGATTTATAGTGGTTTTTGATTTACTGAGTGTTCGAATAATCGGGAAAAAGTAAATAGTTTTAATTAAAGAGATGTGGAAAATTGTATTAGATGCATACATTTAACATTATATTTATAATCTATTATTGTATATGTTAATGTACAAACATATGTATGTATTATTAAATCTTATTAATGAAATCTTATATTTTTTTTTTTGTGAAAAAGCATTATTTAACTTACTGATATCTATGATACTATAAACTAATATAATATTTTAGTGCCGTCGTTATTAACTTAATTAGTAATTACTAATACTTCAATTAGGTTATTTATACAATATAAATGTGATATAATCGCATATAATATTATAAATTATAATTAAAAATAATTTATAATAAAGAAATTAGAATTAGAGGTTCTGGCAAAGTTTGAATTGTAGTGTCTCCCACAGACATACATGTATTTTATTTTAATTATAGAGGAACCAAGCGTTTAGTTTGATGTATGAAGTTTTTCAAATTATCAAGTGACGACTGTAATTTTTAAATTTTAGATTTTAAGTGGAATAATAAATATATTGGATTTAAAATGGTCTGTATTATTTTTTTTTTTCAGTATACACTTTTTGATGTGGAAAAATCATCAACTTTCACTACTCTAGACTTTTTTTTTTTTAACATTTTAATAATATAGTCACAAGTTGATATTACAAAATCAAATATATTATATTATTATAATATATTGAGACTATATTATACAAAACTAATATATTTGTCAATTTATTTGTGTATGCAAGTTGTTACTAGTCAGACGTATTTTATCTTAACAACCATGGTTAGTCATGTCTAGATACAGAGTTTTTTAAATTATAAATTTTAATCAAACTTTTCATTTATTAATTATGATGGAATTTAAACAATCAGATAAAAGAAAATTAAAACTCCTAAGAGAAGTGTTCTATGTTACACACAGATGATACATAATGGGTGCGTGTAAAACAAATTAACATTCAAATACACAGATATAATGATAGCATCTGAATCGAAAAAAAAAAATTTATGTTTATTATACTTCTTTTGAGTGTGAAAGAATTAGGAGATTTTGTCCAACTCTAAATGTATTTATTTTTTTGGTTCATAAGTTTTTTTTATTCAATCTGTCACAAAAAGAACAATATTGATGGTAGATATAAGCTAATTAAAATAAAAATAAAAAGGCAGATTAAACAGACCGCAGAGGCCTCCCAGAGGAGATATTACGACAATCTCTAAAAATAAAGAAAGGTTTTTCCAACTGTTAAGAACTAATAGATATTTGTACATTCCCAGTTTGTTATTAAATTAAAAATAAATTATACCTTTATCAGCTGTAAGTTTTGTAGCGTCCAAAGTTTTTGATAGAATTTTCACAGCCAATTTTTTTGCTTCATCTAAAGTCATTTGTCCTTCTTTATACTCAGTTTTCAATGATGCAATGGCAGCCTATAATAATAATTGATTTATTAAATAACAGTAAGCTGTTTAATTAAATTGAAATTGTTTACAACGTACAGCACTGTTCGTTCCAATACAAGTTGCTTTCCAACCACAATAATTTCCACTAGGATCTGACTGATACAATTGAAAGCCATAATGTGAATCCCAACCCATGTATAATATTGATACACCAAATGGTCTTTTGCCTATAGAATATACCAATACAATAAGTATAAATTGTCTTTTATATATTTTTTTTTAATAAACACCTCCATATTGAGTATATGCTTGTTTTACATCACACAACCACGAAACCAGCTGTTCACAGGGTATAGAATCTCCATACTGCATACGATAACGTTCTGAAATAGAACGTAATTCACTAACCAAGACATTAGCATCAGCAGTAATACCAGCTACACTGCAAACCATGTCACTAGAAAAAATGTGTGAAAGTTAAGACTTTAGTTTCAAAATAAGAAATTAAAAGTAGTTAAATTACTCATTTAGTTTATAAATTTTCTCTGAGCCACAAGTCTCATCAAGCAGTTTATTCACATTCCGTTTTTCAGCTGCAAGGAGAACTCCATCATTTGTAAGTATGCCCAAACACGTTCCAGCATGACTGATTGCTTCTATAGCATATTCCACTTGGTATAGTCGACCTAAAGTAAATAATATACTGCATCAGTACATAGATTCACTACATATAAACAATTTAAAAACAACTATTGATGTTAGATATTACCTTCAGGAGAAAAAATAGTTGTTCTTGTATCATATCTTCGCGCCTAGAAAAAATGTAATAAGAAAATTAAAATAGTTTTATTTATTTATAAATGTTATTAGTCTATAAAAAAAAGTTGAGAAGATTATTTAACATTTAATAAATATATTTTTATATCTCATTACCATTTTAAAAGTATCTAGAGAAATAAAAGTTGTAAAATAAAAAAATGAAAACTAATACATAATAATATTGTTGATAAACAATGACAATTTAAAATTGAAATTAAGTTAAAACTTAAAATCCGGGATTTTTTTAAGGTTTGTGAATACTGAATAAACGCAGTGTAATCTAGTTGATGTAGAACGTCTTTGAAATTAACAATTCTGTGATAAAACTACGATTTAAGATAGTACTTATCTAATCGTGCTTCCTGGTTTCCGTTTTCTTCCTGGGTGCGTTTTCCTACCAGACAGTAAATAAAAACGGTTTATATCACTAGAAAAAAAAACGGTTTATATCACTTTCATGGATGAAAATATCATATCAGTTTGGCTTGGAGTAAACAACAAATAACATTTATCACTGGCCGCCGAATTAAAAAATATTTGAATTTTTAACATCATATTATTATAATATATACAAATACAATTTCACAACTGAGGCCGTATTTTTTTTTTATTCACCGAAATTTTTTTAATATATTTCCAATCATATTGTGTACTACTTCACTTAGTATATTTATTAGGCAGTGGTATTACTTATGTGTTTAGGTAGTTGCAGGTAAGCATAATATAAGATTGTTAGTTTATTATTCATTATTATTCTCCTAGACTCTACACCATACATGTCAACTTATTGAACTTAAATAAACAATCTTAGGTACATATAACGATTCATTATTTGAATAATTAACCTGTAAGTGGTATGGTCTGGTGCCATAGACCGCTGCAGTTTTTGTTTTGGTTTACTTATTAAAATGTCGTACCACTTACGGGTTAAATATGGAAATAAATACCAATATCATACCAATATAATAAATATTAAATATACACATACAATTAACACTAATGACTGAATCCAATCAGATTCATTTTGTTCTAAGTACATATTATGATATATATTTATTTGGTATAATCGTATAGATAAAATTAGACATTTTTTTTAAACTTTATTGAGTTTTATATTGTACCAAAGTATTGTGTATTATTTATAACATATTAAGTTATCAATTGCGTAAATTGCGATATTGTTAACATTTATATTTCTAACATAATAAGTAATAACTAATTTAATTTAATTTAACAATTAATATAATTGATATACCTTTATACAAATATAATAATTTATGATATGTTTAATTATGTAAAACAGGTAGTCAATCTCTATTGATGAATATATAATAATATAATGTTTTATATTACTAATATATAGTATAAGTCTAAACAGTACTTTATGATAGACAACTATGACTATATTATGTTAATTAGTAAACTGTTTAGCACTATTCGTTAATTCAATAATAATTTTCTTCACACACCATGTTTACTTAAGTGTAATTTATGTTTTTACAATATTCATGATCAACATCTCAAAAAAGTAATAATATTTTGGTATATATAATAAATAATAATGTATATAACACTTAATATTCTAAAAGAATTTTGCGTACCACAGCCGTAATATAAAACAGTATTTATATAAGTTTTAATATTGTATAATATATTAAACAATACATATATACCACAAAACAGTTAACATACATATTAGTCACTTAACATTATAAAAGTAATGAATACAATTTAAAAAAATTTCAGAATCTGTGGAACATCATTAATATAGGCCATTATGGTTTAAATGTTAAACTGTGTCATTATTATTATTATTATTATTATATTTAAATTTAAACTATTTATTGTAAATCTATTTATTAAAATATTATAATTATGTATATTTTACACTGTATGTCAGTACCATACTGTATATTTAAAATAAAAAGTTAAAAATATAAAAGTTCTTTGAACAATTTTGAATTGGAATATTCAAATTGTACCAATTAGTAATTTAGTTATTTGTTGTATTAATCATATTTTAAGTTAAATATAAATTCTTATGTAATTATATTTATTACAATAATTAGATAGAAAATACATTTATTATAAACTACAAAGGTACAAATTAACTTAATTTAAATTTTTAGTATTTTTATAAACAATAGTTTGATTCTTACAATCTTAACAATAATTTAATGTTTCATTCCTCGCAATCATAATTAATTTCAAAAATGATAAAATTATTATTAAAATTAATCATTATTCAGTTGTGTAATTTCATCTATCTGAAACTGGTAATGACGAAATATATGTATGAACGGAAGAAAACATAATTGAGTAGTCCATGTTATACATTGATATCCTAGTTTATCTGGAACTTGAAAACCCTCTTTTGCTGACTATAAGAAACAAAAAAATACATTTAATTGTAATTCTTGTAAACATATATTTTTAAGTAACTGTAACATAGGTATTGCAAATTAAGTGTTATTTATTTATTATGATACCGTTTTGGAGGGTAAACAGTTATTTAACTAACATAGTAAACATATGTGTGTAGTTTGTATAATGTATTATGTGCCAAGTTGAGGTAATTTCTGATCTATAGACTTTAACGATACTGGATGAAACTTTGGGATGTGATTTTTAATAAATTGATGTTATAATAAGCTATTAAATGTTTATTAAAATACAACTTGTAACAGATGTCGGGTTCTTGGTATTAGGCTTAAATAATAATATCAGTTCAAGTTCAGATATATAATTCAGAGGCAATTTATTGACAAAGATTTTAATTTTTAGTTACAATAAATAATTTATGCATGATGTACTTACAGTATCAGTTAAAGAAGAAATATAAGTATTAAGTAGGTATTTTAGGTATCTATTTTAGATTCTGAATGGAGCAATGATTGTGTTGATTTTACAATGATGAAATATTTTATTTTATTTTTGTGTCATCATATTTTGGTGCAGTAAAAATGCCTAACATCTTTTCTACTTCAACATTAAAAATAATCTAGTTAGTACTTTGGAGGGTCAAAAGTAAAAAATTCCCAGAACTTTTCAAAAATATCAAGAAAAATAAACCAACAATTAAGGAAAAACTAAGATTTTTATGCAAAACAATTTTTAGAAAAAATCAATTTTGTGCTTTGGTGTAACTCTAAAAAATAAACTTAAATACATTAAAATGTTCAAAATATTTTGGAATTTTTTTAATCTATTTAATATTTATAAACATAAGGAAATGTTGTCGTAATATAAAATCAAATCTATGGTAGGTTGTTATGGTACTTACGATCTATGGGTATAGTACCTACAAAGTTATAATTTGTAATCATATTATATCATCATTAATAATGTATCAATAATATTCTATCCTTTGGTAATATTGATATTTATACATTATTATAGGCATGTAAGTATAAACATACTTAGTATATGTAATTCATTGTTTACATAATTTTATACTTGATAGTTAACAGTATAATAATATAAACAATTTGATAGATACTCTTATTCGGTATTACAGTATAAAATTGAAAATTATTATCTCAAATTTTTCTTTTTATCATTTGTTTTTATGATGCTCCCTAAATTGATGGGTGCCCCCGAGAACTTGTCCCCTTTGCCTCCCCCTAGTACGACTATGATTATATTGTAAATAAAAAATTTAGTATTAAGGTATACAACTTTTGTTCCTAAATTAAATATTATTTTTAGAATTTTCACATAATTGCACACTTCAATAGAATTTTATTTAGTATTTTGTGTCATAAAGTTACCAGCAATGTCCCAAAATGAATCACATCCAATTGTCAGAACACTGAATTTCCAAACTTGTTATGTGTCCTTTGAAATTTAAATATGTTCAGATGCTCCGTACTATTAAAATTGGATACTGGTTCCGCAATATATTACCTATAAATTAAAAGTTTGTTAAAAATATGTCAGTGAACTATTTGTTTTCTCTCTGACCTATGAGTAACATAACAAATTTGTGTAGAGCAGATCCAATTTTGTAATGTTAGCTTTAATAAACTTAAAGTAAAAATATTTTCTAAAGGTATATTTCTTTATATTTTATTTTTAAAGCAAGTTATGGGTATTTTAAGTACCTAATATAATGAATTTAACATAGTTATTTATTATTTATTTCTAGATAACTGGCTGAGCCCTTTGGACACAAATATAATTCTACACACATAATTAGATATATTATAATATAACCATTTAATATAATGATATCAGACAATATAATGTAGTCATAGCACCATACAGATAACTCACTATTAAATTAATAAATCAATAAAATCCCATGAGGTGCCCACAATAATATTCTTACCTTTAAGTTTTCGTATTCAGGTTAATATTAATTATTAATGTTTTTATAACTTACTTGAATAATTGCAATATTTATAATGTATACTTGGCCTGTAGAATTGTCTTAAAGAAAATCAAATTCTCAAAAATTTTCAATAAATTGGCTTGACTTCCTAGTTCCTTGTAGTCGTAGGTACCTACATCATATTATTATATTTCAGTTTTGAAAACCATGATATAATAGGTACAATGTGTATCGTGTATTCGTGAGAACTAAAATCAGTAACAGTAGCAGTAAATCATTAAGTTACTTTCAGCAAATATTTAAAATTTTAGAGAACTCACACAACTACTTACTTACGTGTGTCGTGTTTGAACTATTCAACTATGAGACGCGAGTTAGACAATAGAGTATAGACCATGGCTATAGACATTACAAAATGTCTGTAAAAGTGTAAACCAAAAAGTCTAAAACTACAAACTTATCAGTTATTATTGACCTAGCTAGACATTGATAAGAATCGGTACGATGTGTTGCCTATACAAGTCCCTAACATAATACGGTAATCGGAAAAGAAGTACCTATACGGATAAAAAAATAGTGAAAAACGTACTGACAATCTTTTTCGTGTACAGTTCTACAGTTGTGCTTTGTAACAAAAATACAGAAATCGTTTGACTGATGTGCATTTGGACGATTTACTGCTGTTGTCAACATCAAATACAACCGTAGGGCTGCATATATAGTATGCGGTTTACCGGTGAATTTACGAATATAGTATGCGGTCTGCCGCAAATAAATAAATTAT